CTGACCTGGTAGATGATCAAGGTAGATTAGCCCAGAGCCAGAGTGCACACAGCACTGCACTGTAATATATACAGTGGTTCTTGACCTCTTTAGACTCAAGGCACCCCTGGATAGACTTGTGACACTCCTGGGTAGAATTGAGGCCCCTCAGAAAATACCAGCTCCTATTTTTCACTCCTTTTTGCCTACAGAGAAATAATGAAGCAGTTTCTTTTGATGCAAAGAACTCTGAAAGACCACAGCTATGGATGGCTATTTGAAATCTCTGGGTTTATCTTGTGAATCATATTTGTGCACCTAACAGTACTAACTTGGTGCATCCTGAAGCATCCTTGAAAGGATCTCAAGGCACTCCAGGGTGCTGTGGCACCCTACTTGAGAATCACTGGTCTAAGCACAGGTATCTGGCTTTTCAACAGCACAGCTCCCAACTGAGTGCCTCCTTCTAATACAAGCAGCCTTCATGCTATTTGTCTCACTGTACAGGCATCTAGAGGCCCTACTTGGGAGGACAGGTTGCCCCAGGGAAATCTGTGCCCTCTTCCAGTCAAGTCCTTCTTACCTCCTTTTCTCCTCGCTTCTTAGGCCTTGCACTTCATTATACATATACACGTGCATAGCTCTTGCCTGCTCTGGGGCACATCCATAGACACAGAGGCCTACCTGACTTTTGTGCACACGAAAATATGAACGCACATGCATCTACAGGCCCCACCTTTCCATTAAGACAGACAAACAAATATACATAGGCAGACATGCGCATATACAAGCTCTCTGTCTCCCCCCTACCCCGCCCCCCGGTCCCTCTTTTTCCCTGCTCTTTTCATTAATGGCACTTTTCTCACTTTCTGTGAGAGCAATTCAAAATGTTTTGTGTTCTTCTCAATTATATATAAAATATATATTTGTGTTCCTCTTGATTATATGTAAAAAAAAAAAAAAAAAGAGATGGAGAAAACTTTGGCTTATGTTCAACAGTAATGCAGATAAAAACTTTGCACTTGAACTTAAATTAAACAAGATTAAAAAGCCAAGCCCTTGCCTGCAATTCAGTGGTATGCCAAAGTATAACACTATGCTATTTGTGGTGCATATTTTTCATTTGCATAATACAGCATTCTTAAATAAGAATAAAGGATGCCTTAATGTGTTTCTTCTTGATACACTATCTAAAAACCTGAGATGCTTAAAAGTGATAGCATTAGAGGTTGATGACACATTTTTTCACTGGAAAATTCCAGTTCTTCAAATAACTTCACAGACATTTAGAGCTGAAAACTTTTTGTGATACCTTTTATTGACCTGACTGTATAGTTGGGATAGCTGTTGGGCAAGCTTTTGGGCTTGTGTTCTTATGTTCATTAGATGCTCTTCCTCGGGTCCAATATACAGTGAGAGCACATTGACTCATCAAGACTAGGGGCTGAACCTGGCTTTCCTACTTCGCAGGTAAATGCCCTGACCAGTGCCCTATTGTGTATTCTGGGGTTTAGTCTTTCTCTCTCTCGTTTTTGTTTGTGGTTTCTAATGCCCTTAATCTCCAAAAGGTTATGGTTTTCTTCCATATTGCAACAAATTTAGAAACCTCAATATTTTTCACCTAATGGAATTTTTGCTTTCTGGCCAGTCCTACTTATAATTGATATATTAAAGGATTTCTTGGGCACTTATAGTAGAATTAAGGTCCAGAAATATTTGCAAGTTATGCCCTTTTATGACCTAAACAAATGCATGCCAGGAGGAGATGATGACTTGGGGTACTTCAAAGGTCTTCAAGTTTTGAAGAAGAAGCTATAGAAGCCAATAAAGTTTGGGAACCATTTTTCTAGTATTTTAATTGATTAGTTATACAGAAAAAGATGGGTATGTTTATTAGATTTCTAATGTAGATGATGCTTTATTACTATTATTGATATTATTTATTTTTGCTGGCATCTTTCCTCTGCATATTCTGCCAAAATGTTTTACAGTGTTAGATTATAGTATTACAATATTAAAGAATTAAAATAACCAAATGGGAGGGAGAAATAATAGTGTATAGGCAAGGCTTTTCACATGGCAGAGCCTGCAGAGGAGAAAGCTCACTCACTAGCATCCATGATATCTGGTGTAGGAGGGATGAGGAAGTAGCAAAAGGAGCCAAAAGCGAGAGAGAGAGAGGATGACAGGGTACGTGAGGAGTCACTGGAGCTGTTTGGGGATAGAACTAATATGGTTGCACTTTTGTGGTGTATGTGAGAAGGAGAGGAAAGCAACATCGTATAGGCAAGAGATGGAATGATGTGAGGGTCTGCAGCTGAGGTTCTGCAATGGCATACCTGGACAATAGTGTAAAGAGGGTTAAAGGCTGTCAGGATGGGCAAACTAAATATTACACTTGCTGAAAATCCTGAATACTTGTTGTATTTGGTTAGCATTGTCCCAACATTTCTGGAAGCATAACTGGCTGACCAGCATCAGAACTGACCTTTAAACAGTCCTCAACCATCACCCTTCAGAGCACTATATTCGGGGCCAGACTGGAGACTTTAGGGGTGGGTAGGGAGAAAGCAGAAGCCTAAGTAGTAATTTTGGCATCATGGGCAAAGGAGAGTTCTGAATACTGTCCAGTGGGTGGGAAGGCAGGTGCCAAGCACCCTTCAACTTTTTTTTTGGCTGCTGTTCTGGCTTCCCTTCTAAAGTGGCAACAGGAATTAGTGCCTCACACACTGTGCCCTACTTTACTGGGAGAAAGTGTGAGAACCCCACACCTCTATCAGGTATTTAACCACACATTTAACATTAAAGCTGACGGTTAAGTCCCCCGCAGTGCGACGACAATCTCAGCCAGGATCCTTTGGTGTATCGCCCACATGTAAGTGACCCATTTTACAGCCTGCATGAGCATGTGACTGCTGATTTTAAGTTCTCCCACAGCCTTCTGCTGTAGAAGTAGAGCCCAGCTGCTGCTTCTGTCCAACTCTAGAAAATGATTTAGAGAAGTTTTACTGTTGCAGCACCCCCCACCCCCTGTTCAGTTCTTCACAGAGGAAAAACCAAGAGACCAACTTTAAACACAAGGACAAGAAAGATCTGAGTCTCTACAGTTATTATTACCTGTATTACTGTAGCACCCAGGAGTCCTAACTGTGGACCAGAACCCCATTGTGCTAGGTGCTGTACAAACATAGAACAAAAGGCAGACATTCCCTCATCCCTTCAGAGCCTTGCTGGGCCCAAAGGTAGGATGGTGCAGAGGAACCTACCATAATGATAACAGTTACAGTTTAAAGATGGGTCTTAAAAGGAGTGCTGCCAGAATATTTTATTCAGTTAGTGATCACATCTGGACTCAGGCATGTATTTTGTGACAGCAGCTATTGTTCAGTTATTGTTCAGTGTTTGGGAGACTGCCTGCAACCATTTTTCTGCTCCCTTCACTGTTCCCTGAAGGAGACTAGTAAAAATAGGACTGACTCTCATTTCCCTCTTTAAGGCCAGAAGACCTCTGTCAGCATAAAATTCCATATATATCCAGTTTGGTCCCCTGACTCTTCCAGAATAGAGTAAGGGGTTTTAGTGTAGCCGAGAATCTGACACAGTATTATTCTTCTTCATTCAAATATACTCATAGCTAACAATTAGAGTAAGAATAATATTTACTCATGATTTTCTTCTGGAAGCATCAGAGGTCATATTCTATTCTCAATTGCTGTAGGTTTATATTGGTGTAACTCCTTGAAATCAATTAAGTTAATATAGGTTTATTATAAGTGTTGGATCTGAAAACAGAAATTACCCCCTGAATAACTGTGCAGGGCTCACAGGAAGCTATAAAACCAAGCTGATGACTTAAAATAGGTTTTCTGTGCTTTTAAATATAATGTAATCAATGTTAGATCTCACAGAGCTGCAAGTAATAAGCAAATGCCACTGTCCTACCACTGGAAAAACTGATCTTTTTCTTCCCTGTAGCATAAAGCTCCTATTTCTAGCTTTGTAGTGTCATAGAGCATTGGGACTTAAACTCCTTATTGAAACAATTGAATCTAATCTCTTGTGAGCCTCAGGTAAGCTGTGATGGGGGAAAATTCTATACTTGAGGGAAGAAAAAGGAAACTTTTCTTTCTTTTTAAAGCAAGTAGATTGCTTTAAAGACCTGGCATTGTTTGGAAACTGCTGAGAAGTTTGGTATGTTAAAAATGGTTTCTTCAGATTAATTATTTTTGCTTAAGGTAGAAAAGCAGCGTGATAATGAGCAAGTCCTGAGGCCTGTTTGCTGCTGTCATACTCTTCCTACAAAGTGCAGCCAAGAGGTAGAAATAGCAACAGGTAGGCAGATATGCCTCAATAATAAAGATCAGCTATTGAGTTTGAAATGCTCACTTTCAGCCTGTACACTGCAACTAGCCAGTACCCTAACCTACACGGGTGATGCATTTTGTCAAGAGACAAGTCAGTTGCTACTGTTCTTGACTGGCTTGATTTTTTTTTTTTAAAATTGTTATTATTGTAATACAACATCACAGGCAACAGATTCATTCTAACATCATCAGGGCGAGGGGACTATAATCACATCCTTTCAGGGAACACAGTAGGAGTTTGAGGGCCCTTGTCCACATTGCGCTTTTCCTGTTTCCACGTGACAGAAATTGCCATTTTGCTAGTTTAATCACATCTGAAGATCCACATTGTCACTTTGTTTGATCGTGTTAGTAATTTGTTATTGTGGTAAATTAAATCACCTCCAACATTTTATTTTTAGTGGGTGAATTTGTGCCAAGAGGAACAAGAGTGTGAACTTAGCTGCACAACCTGACTTTGGATCTTTAAAGGCCACAAGCATGCTGGATTCAACATATTTACAGATACCCTATTAGCTACAAACTTTAAACCTTTTCGCTTGCTGCTAACTAATATTATCAGCTTGTATCCATGCCACCTGGTGCTGTGGTCCTGTCAGGTCTGACAATAAACAGGATTGAATCTAGTCAGTTTCCGGATGGGCAACTTCCAGGAAAATGTTGCAGCACATGGTGTTGATAATTTGGTAGGTGTAACTTACCTCTGAGTCAGCTCTCTGCTGCTGGATGAAATGGGCCCTAACTCTAGTTTATATTCCTCCTGCTTTACCCTGCCCACGTTGGGGTGTGGCAAAGATAAGCACAAAGCTCCTCCAAGGAGTATGTAGGTACACAAAAATTCATCATTTGTACAATAGTGTCAAGCAAACAGTCAAATCACCTCTTCATTCTTATATGGCCTAATCTAATTGCCTTCTGCAGGACTGCATAGCATGTAAATGAAAGTGGACTTTGGTTCATACAGGAGCATAAGGAAGGATAGGAACCTCATAGACCTCCCTGCATGGACTATTGAAACTTGGGTCCAGGTATCCAGCAGAAAGCAGAGTCAATGCATCTACCTATCCCAACCCCTGAGAAAGCAAGTAAGGAGAGGAGGGCAGGGGGGAGGGGAGGCTGGCTTAGGCCCATCCCAACACACAGGTTAGCCCTGCAGTCAGGGCAGGGAGGATAGCAATTTGCTGATGGATGGAACAGCAGCAAATGACCACTGTCTCTGGAGCAAGGATGAAACAGGGAGGAGTTGTGCCCTAGAGACTTCTCTCTGGTGCGTGCTGTTTTCTGGGCATTTATATATCACCCCTTGCTCAGGGCTGTGCCTAAGGGCTCAATCTAGCCTCAAGGTTTTTAAGGGCTAAACTAATAACATTTTCAAGGATGCTGTGTGCATTATGTAAAACAGTGTCACTGACACAGATTTCTCTCTCTCTCTCTCTCTCTCTGTCTTTCTCCTCCCCCCACCTCTGCCTTTGCTGCCTGATTCCAAGCAACGCCCTGTCAAGCAGTCCTTGAGTGCTTGCATGTGCAGAGAATCCCACTGGAAATGCCTCCTCCTCTCCATCCTTATGTACGGCTGCCTGGGTGCTGTGGCCTGGTGTCAGCTTGCCCGAGTCACCAAGCTCAACTTTGATAGCTCCTTCAAAGGCAAGTCCATGATCTACCATGACAGCCCATGCTCTGATGGCTATGTCTATATCCCATTAGCCTTCCTAACCATGCTGTATGCAGTCTACCTGGTGGAGTGCTGGCACTGCCATGTCAAAAGCGAGCTCCAGTACAAGGCCGATGTGGACAACGTCTATGAATGCATCAATCGCATGCAACAAGCCACGCCGTGTATCTGGTGGAAAGCCATCAGCTACCACTTTGTGCGACGCACCCGGCAGGTGACCCGGTACCGTAATGGAGATGCTTATACTACCACGCAAGTCTACCATGAGCGAGTCAACACCCATGTGGCTGAAGCCGAGTTCGACTACTCTCATTGTGGATACAAGGACATCTCCAAGGAACTGCTGGGCCTGGAATGCTACACAGCCACCAAGCTGAAGTTCACCAAATGCTTCAGCTTTGCCAGTCTAGAGTCTGAGAACTCCTACTTGACCCAGAGAGCTCACTTTTTCACAGAGATTGAGGGACTGGATGACTACATGGAAGTCAGGGAAGGTATGCAGCTCAAAAATGTAGATTTCAAAGAGCTCATGATGGCGTATGGGGATCCAGACCATCTCCCATGGTACGTGTCCCACTATACTTTCTGGGTGGCAGCTATCTTGATGATATCATGGCCACTGAGAGTGCTTATAGAATATCGGACTGCATATGTGCATTACCATGTAGAGAAGCTCCTTGGCCTTGAGTACACAGCACCGACCACAGCAGAGGAGCCCTTATACAGGTATCGCATGCCCAGAGACAACACTCAGGACAGTACTGAACTGGAGTGGCATATCTGTACCAACCGGCAGCTGATCCCCAGCTACTCAGAGGCCATGCTAATGGATCTGACAGAGACCCCTGTGTACAACAGCTACTCTGTATGCCAGTACAGTGAAATTGCTCATGGCTGTGAGCAGTGCCATCATACCTCCAGTACCTCCTCCATCTTCTCTCGCCATGCCTTCCACAGTTGTAGTGGGAACTCCCGGCTCTCCCTCAACACCAGCCGTTTCTCCTTGTGCCGCATCCATGGCTCCCACAGGACAGGCCTCTGGAGGAGTCGCAGCAGCAGTATAGCAGACCGGGGCTGCCATGATGAACAATGTTGCTCTTACTCCAGCCAGCTGGCCATCAATGAAAACCCACCAACCTACCATGATGCCCGTTTCTTCCCCGTGCTAATTGTGCACAGGCCCGAAGGGCATGACAGAAGGCACTTCTACATTCGACGCTCATCCTGCCTGGAGACCTCTCTGTGATAGGACCCTATGGGCTTTAGAGCTTCCCTCCCCTAAGGCTAGCTTAGCTCCATGGCTCTAGTTCTGTTTGACAGAGGTGCTACTAACAAAGAAAACATACATATCAAGGCACTGCATAGTAGCTCCACAAGGCAATCCTCTGATTCTAAATTCCTTCCCTGATAGTGCAAGAAAATATGTATCTTGTGTCCAAAGGCTACCTTCCCTCTATTTCCCTACCACTTTGTCTGTATCTCTATTTTCTCCTTTCTTTTCTCTTCTCAGAAAACAACACCTTTCTATTTTTCCCTTCTCATTTCCATCTCCATCTCCATCTTTCTCTCACATTTCAGGTAAGATACTTTAAACCACTAAAGCAATCACCATTTCAGGATATTAAAGCATTTTGAAAATACTGATGTATTTACCTTCCTCACTCTCTCATAAGGTAGGAAGCTGAGGAACAGGGCAGTAAAATGACTTTGCCAAAGGACACGCAGAAGTCAATGGCAAAGCCAGAAATAGAACTCATGGCTGCAGACTCCTAGTCTCTTGCTGTAACCTCCAAATGAGGCTAACCTTCCCAAAGCTCTTTCAGTTTCCTTCTCTTTTGCTTCCTCCTTCTCTTCTCTCTCTCCAGGCATCTTTCTTTGGTCTTCTCTCAGTTTTGCTTCCCAAGTTGTTTTCATTTTTTCATTCCTTCCATCACAGAGTCTAGGAGTTCTGGGTCTTGCCCTATCAAAGTGTCCTTCTTGCTTTCAGAGTTACAGCAAGTATATCTTGGTCAGAAACAATGAGTATGCCACACAAGGGTAACTGACCACTTGTATAAACAAAAATCCTACTCCTGGGCTGAGCACCCAGAACTTTCACTGAAGGATCATACACCAAAAGAAATTTACCACTAAAGGAAGAAAAAATCATCCTTTTCTCATCAGTTTTTATGTCTTGTCTTCTACCCTATGAAAATTTTACAAATGTTTCTTATTTTTGCTAACCCCAGTTCTGCACCATCAAATTCAGCAAATTTAGGAGCACTAGGGTAGACCAGTTGGCACTACCATTTTCAGCAGCATGGCCCTGATTCCCAGTTATTCCATTCTTATACTAGCATAGCAGTGATGTGGCTGAGGCCAATGTAGCCATAGTTTTACTTTATGTAGACCCTGTATTCTGGAGCTGTTTGGAGGCAGATTTACTGCACAGCGTACATGGGAGTGACCCCAGAGTGACCCTGATTTACATTCTGCTCTGTGTGAGACCAGGGAACCCTTGCTAGCACTGTATACTAGGCTGCACCTCTACTCTATTTTTGCCGTGCCACTCCAAAACACCAACATGTCTATTACACCAGGGACTTGCATCAAGGCTGCCATTGAGCCCTTATATCAGTTCTACCTTGGCCAGAAGGCTTGCTGCAGGTGATAAATGGGTCTCAGCATTATGTATACTATTGGATTGGCTCCCATGTCATCTTTTACTGCTCTGAGCAAGTGTCTTAACCACTATTACATTTAGATCTAGTGACTCCTCAATAACAGGCAGTCCAGTGTGGTGAACACCAGTGGTGCTGACCTGACACTGAGTACAGGAGATGGGACTCTTAAGCCTATCAGTGACACTCCTGCTCTCCCCACTTGGCAGTCAGTGTATCTGAACTATTTCCTAGCTCCAAGAGCCAAAGCAAAGGCTGTTGATCCTTCTCAGGAACCATTAAGGACCATCTCAGAATGCAAACCTGCGCCCAGTAAAGGGCTGTCACATAGCACATGAGCCTTTGAAACTTTGCACTGGGGAGGGTGGATGTCTTGATCATTCCTGGTTTGCAGTGAATATCAGAATACAATACCATATCTTCCAAAAAATGAAGTGTTTTAACCTTTAGGATAAGTAAGTAAGAAACAATGTCCTGTATGGAATTGTCAAACACTGCTTGCTCCCTGATCAGCTTCTTATATATCCACTTGTAATTTGGAACGTGTAAAGTCTGGTTAGTATGTGTAGATTATATAGCTCTATGTATCTATACATATATAGTTATTTCTTATGGCATTGACTGTTGCATCACATGCAATACATTTTCTTTTGGTTTAATTATTCTCTGTTTTGTAATACTGCATTTATTTCATTACAAGAGACGTATGGATTACTTTCACTTATGCAACCCAAATGTGACCTACTGTAAATGATGGTAATTGCAATCAGAAAGGTTGTTTTGGTCTGTATGAGTTCATTTATTTATGTAATTTTTGTGTAAGTGCCTATCACCTTGACAGCTAGACATTAAAAGTTAAGAGGCATACATGATGCTTTTAGCTTGTTATTTTGACAAAAGGACTTAATTTTCTGCTCAGATAACTGGAGAAGAAAGGCCTGGGTTTGGAGGAATTTTTAGCCATAGACTTATCCCAAAATCCCAAATCTGAGAAACCACAAACTTTGAAAAAACTCAGACCAAGATCCACGCTCAGGCATAGATCTTGAACAAACCCCAAACCCAGATATGACCAACACCCCAGCCTAACATCACTTAGGTCTCGGCAAAATTTTGGATTAGGTTGAGTCAGCTCTGATCTTTTACAGCTCTGGTTTATCCCTGTGTTTTTGTTTTGTTTTAGATGGAGCACTTGAGATTCTCTAATGTGCTTCCCTTCCTCCTCTACACACACGCATACAAAATTAAACTATGGGCATATGGAAAATTTGAATTGGAGGAGGCTGCAACTTCAGGAAACACAAGGACTGGAGGAGACATTTCAACATTGTTTCTGATGGAAGTAGATGAAGGATAGAGAAAATAAAACATGAAAGATAGGAAAGCATGATAGAGGGCATAGCAATTAAAAGAAAGGCAGGGATTCAAATATGGAAAAAGATAGCTCTCAATGTACAATCACAATTCCACGAAGCAACATATATCATAATTATAATTACTGGGTGTTTACCCTGTGACACAGTCAAAATGGGGTTTAGTCTTATACTGCAGCTTTGTCTCTGAACCACGTCTGTGTAAAGCTTTAGCACAGTCACTCTGGGGTTATAGTTAAAAGAACTTTTTGTCCCATCTGCAGTATCAAACTGACTTGTGCCTCAACTGTGTTTATGGAAAGTTGCATTATAAGTGGGTCTTCAGGTACTGTCCCTATTTTATAGTATTTTTATCTGATGTGAACAAGCCTTAACAACCCCATTATTATCATGGGCAGGGCAGATCGTGGGAGGCAGTTACTGCTAAGCCAACATATTTAACCTTTTCAAAGAATATGTTTGTTAGGTCTGTGCTACATCTGCGAGAATGTCCACCAACAGGTTTCCAACAACTTTCCTTCCCACGCTGTAAACATGCCTTGGGGCATATATTGAAAATCCAAGACCTAAATGAGTGGTATAGCTTCAGAGCTTGTTCATGTTACTTGTCAAAACAACTGGGAATGATTGCCAGAAAGCTAGGTGTAGCTTTTATGACCTGGAGCAGAATATGTTGGTTCTAACACACTGCCAGCTCAGAGAGCATCTGATCAGTCATCCTATCCTACGCAGCAGAACAGTGTTAGTCCTGTGTCCCTTGAAATGTCACCTCGCTGTCACTCCTGCCACCATTTCAGTTTACTAATGCAAGTTGATAGGGATATCTTCTAACTAAGGGAACAACTGTGCTCTTTGAAGTTCAAGTCAGAGATTGGAGAAGACAAGATGTTCAGCTCTACCAACAATTAGCTCTGAGCTCTTTGAGGGAAAAGATGGGCAGAACTTTTTAAAAAAATAAGCTTCCTTTATCTTTAGAAATATATTGAATTTTTGACCAGCTCTACAGTGGATTGAAAAATGAAGGAGAAAAGTCATGACAATTTCATCATCAATTTTTTTCTCAGCATTTTGATATCCAATAGCAAAATTTCAAGTCTGTCCACTGGTAATTAGGCCTCTATATTGCTGAGCTCTTTATGCCTTTGCTAAAATGTGTTTAGAGAATCCACTGAGGCAGGTAAGATATAAAATACATTAATAAAATAGAGGAAGGGCATAAAGCAAGAAAGAGTTAGATGAGTTATGAGTCATGTTGGGGTGTCCTTTATAAATCTGTGCAATGAACATTGGTACTGGTTGTCTAGGGCCAATAGCACAACAACATTTGTTCCTAATTCATTAATACTTAAGGGAGAGGAACATTTATTTATGATTCTTTGTTCTTCAAAGCATTCCAAAGTCACAGGTTCCTTTGATTTTTTCCTAGTTATATTAGCACACTATAAGATTTCCCACAGCCCTCTGCAATCCAGCTGGTAAGGCATCCAGGATGTCGGTCCAGTTTTCACACGGTTCTTCATTCTTATGATTGCTGATAATCCACTTCTTAGAATATCTGAGGCCAGATCCTCAGCTAGCATAACTCAGCATAGTTCTATGGAATTCAACAGAGCTACACTAATTTATGGCAGAGTCTGGCCCTGGGCACTTAATAAAAAGTTTGTATCATATACTCATCTTTGCAGATAAAGCTGTTTCTGCTGGCTTGTTTTTAAGAAATTGTGGTAATTATAGCTGATAAAAAAATCCAGGAAAATAGTCTGTTGAATGTTTTTTCCCTCTTATCTGAAAAATGTGTCAAAATTTAGGCCAGCTCTATAGTTGACTGAATATTGGGGGGGGGAATGGGAGGGATGAAAATATCTTTTCTTTTTAAAAGAACAAAAGTAAAAGGGTAGGTAGCAATCTCAGACCTCCCAGCAGCTCTTTGAAACCTTCTATAAAGGTTTCTCTGCCTTTGTCTAAATCAGTGGGAGCCAACCTTTTTTGGCAGGTTTACCACAAATTAAGCCCTGCACTGTCCTCAAGCATCACTCTGATCCCCTTCCCTTGCTCAATCTGCTGCTCAGTGCCTTGTTCTCTGCCCAACTGGCTGTCCTGCTTTCTGCTCTCTGTCCAGTTCTCCCTGTCTGAACTTCTGCTCTGCTTTTTGCCTCCTGCCCTGTGTTTCCTGCCCAGTCTACAAGTGTGTTGCCTGCTCCCTTCCCCATCTGCCACATGCCACACTCACAGCTACCTATGCCACTTGTGGCACACATGCCACAGGTTGGTCACCTCTGGTCTAAGTTAACTGCCAACATCAGGAGACAGGGCAGTGTGTAAGATGGCATACTGAATAAAAGTGCTTGTGGAAAATTACTTTTATCCAAATTAACTGGAGGAATTGCAGCAATTCCACACTGCTGAAAGGGCATGGTAGAATTGGAGTCTCTTCTGTTTCTTTTGGCACTCATTTGAGTTTTGAGGACTGAAATATATAGCTAAGTAGAATCTTTGGGCTTGTTTAATGTTTGGGTGATACCCAATGGCATGTGACATATAGGGACTTTTGGTCTTAATTTCTATGAAACCTCTATCCCTCACAGTTTTCTTGTTATTCTGCTGTGGTCTGCTTGGTTTCAATGATCTTAACCTATGGCTCTGTATGTGAAACACTATCTCATAGTTACATCATGGGACTGAGAACCAGAAAATGTGAGTCAGCCCTCAACTCTGCCATTAACTTTCTCTTACCTGGAGTAAGTCAGTCCATTCATTTGTGCCTTGGCTTCCTCATTTCTAAGTTGAGGGTACTGGCATTTACTCACAGCACAGGAGCAATGTAACATTTGCATTGTCACAGTGTTGGTGTGACCTTTGTAAGCCCTGTAAAGCCCACTGAAATCCTCACATGAAAGACACTGTAGGAAAACAAAGTGTTTACATCCATTACGCTCCACAAGACTGCTAAACCTTGGTAACATAGTTACTTTTTTTTAAATAACTGATGCCTCAAATAAACAGATGTATAAATATACAGAATATATTATTAGATTGGTACCTTAGACTATAAGGGAGACTGAACTAGGGTCCAGAGATTACAGTGGAAGTGCTTTAGGGTTTTAGTAAACATATGCACAGGGCAGCCTTGCCCAAGTATCTGCCAAAGCATTGTAGTTGCTGCAGATGGATTCTGTCATAGGCAGAAGCACCAAGAGTGCCAAGGTCTTCCTTTAGCTGTTTGGGATACACGATTTGTCAGTGCCTCCTCCTTGCCTCTTCATTTCAGTCTGCAGAAACAGAGGAGGGAGAAACAGATTTTTCATGCCAGTCTTGGAGTCTTCTTGGCATTGTTTCAGCACCTCAGGATTTCCTAACAGAAATGAAAATTGATGTGGATAAGTCTTTATCCACAGCCCAGAGGCCAAGGGTTGGAAGATAATGGGGTAATTCTGTAAGGCAGCCTGGCCTTAGCTCTCTCATTTGTTGAAGGGGGATAACAACTCTCCCTACCCTCATCCAGGGTTTCATTCATTAAGTTTATAGCGTACAGCAGGAGCCTGAGATGGAGGGTATTGTATTAATGCCATGCATTATATTAACTTAGTAGTATTATGAATCTGAAAATTGTACTGCACTGTAATGATATGTTGCCCGTTCTGGTGCCTTTCAGCTCTGGTTCTCAAGGTGATTACTATGAAAAGCCAATGTCAGGGAGTTTTTGATAATCAGCACAAGGTCCTTTCCCCATTGCAGTAATAGCTCTAGGGAAACTTGGAGCTAACCTCTTTTATTTTCAAAGTTCATATTGTGCCCTAAACTTCCACATTACAGGGGCCCACATCAAGCAAATCTGAACTGGAGGACACAGAAAAAATTCCGAACCTTGTCAAAGCTCCTCTGCAAATAAATGCAGAGATTGGATGCCAAATACTGGCAGGAGGTTGGTCATTGCACTGTAACCCCATCACAAGCCACATGGGGAATGCCTCCACTGCAAAAAGCCTAACCAGCCAGTATTACTGGAAGGAGAGGAGAGGGTTGAAAGTACTGAGATGAGGGCACACAAGTCCAGGAAGCAGTGCAGAGGCATCAATCTGCTGATAGATGACTCAGGACTGCAGATCTTGGAAGATCTTCCCATTTAGGGCCTAAAAGTCCAGTGCGAATCAGAGCTGTCACAAGGAATCCAGGTGGGAACTTTCAGTCCAGTAACATTTGTCTCCTAAATCCATGTTTAGTCTGACGTAACTACAGGATCTACTTTTTAAGTGCCTCATGTCAGGGACAATCTTACCTGCCTGGTGCAGGTAGCTGGACCGTCCTCACCTGGTTTCTCTATGCCTCTGTTTTAAGTACCCAGCAGCTCCAATGGGACTCATGAATTCTTTGTTTCTGTGAAAATGAAGGGAATGATGTGGGAGCTTGAATATGGCTCTAGGACCCTGCTGGTCACTTGCACCAGGACAAACTCTGGGACTGCTGGGGCATCCCCTAGGGGCCAACAGAATCCTGCCCATACTCCCAGTCTTCTATATAACCTCCCCTTTTTATCTCTCCTGCCACACCTTGATATTTTTTTGATAGATAGAGAGGCAGCCCCCGAGTGCCAGAGTGCTGCCCCTGGTATTTAACAGACCTCTTGTGGTCTCTGGGCCCTCTGCCCACTAACCAAAACTATCAGCCCCAATTAAACCTTAGGGCTTTTAATTGTGGCCTCCAGCCTCTCCCCCTGTGGATGCCATTCTGTCATCACTTACCTTTGTGTATGGGCTTTGGTCCTATTAACCTTAGCCTACAGGGTACTCTGGTTCTAGACTTGTAGCCTGGGATCACTTGCTCTGACCCAGCCTTTCAGTCTTAGCCTCTCACCAGCCCCAGCCTGCCTTTCTTGCCCCCTCTGAGTTCAGGCCGCCTGTGGCAGGGTCAGGCTCAGGCTCTGGCCCTTGTAGCCTCAGCCTGCTTGCATCTCATGCCTCTGCATCTGGCAGGGCTCAAAACTGGGCATGCCCCTCAGGCACCCCTGTGCGGCCTCCTTACCACCCCTACAGTCATCAGCCAGTCCCATCACTTTGACAACTAGACATTCAAAGTTAGGAGGTGTAGGTGATGCTTTTAGTTTGTTATCTCAACAACAGGACTTAATTTCCTGCTCAGATAAGTGAAGGAGAAAGGCCTGGGTTTGGAAGGCTTTTTAGACATAGACTTAACCCCAAATCCCAAATCTGATAAACCACAACCTTTGAAAAAACTCAGACCAAGGTCAGAAAAAATGTAATCTGCACTTTTTTTGTAGTTATTTATGTAACTTTTATATAAGATTGAAAGCCCTCCTCAGAGTCACTATACAGCTGCTGCAGCCCTTTCCACGCTTACTAGCTCTCCTAGCCCATGAGAGCACCCAGTCAGGCCTGCAGCTCCCTGCTCCCTAGAGCTCTTCATTCCCACAGCTAGGGCTACACTTAAGCCTGGGTCGCTGAGGCACGGGGTCATCCCCCCAGGCTCTTTTCCTTCCAGTCCTGTGTTCCTGACCATGCCCAGCTGCCTCCTCTAGGCCTCCTGCTGCCTAACCCAGGGCTCTGCCCCACTGCCGGATTGCTAGGCTGCTGGCTCTGCACTAGACACTTGGAGGTGCATCTACACCTGCATTGTAATGTGCATTAGCCTATCTGAACGCGCATTCAAGCATCACAACAACGTGCTCCTTAGCTAATAGATTCATAGATTGAAATAGGCGTATGGTATATTATTATCACATATGAAAATCGGCGAATGTGCGTTTTTCTAGTACCGCACGATTGGAGGCACTAGATTTAAGTGCATTACCTAAAGCACGTGAAGTGACGGGGCAGACATGCCCTTGCAGCCCAGGGATGCCCGGCGGCCGGCTCGGAACCAGCTGGGGGCGTCCCTGCCGGGGTTTCTCCCTTCGCGCACCAGGAGCCCCTCCCCCTCCGCTCCCACCTGACTGTTCGGTTGGGTTTCAGTCTGCCACACGCTCCCCCCGTCCCCCCAGTATAGCGGACGGGCTAAGCCTTGGGAAGTGCCCTGTGCCCCTCAGGCCCCCGGGGGGCTCCCCAGAGAGCTGGAGCATTGTCCCGCCGTTTGACACAAGCCGAGAGCGAGCAGGGGCGCGGCGAGCCATGAGGGGGAGCCCCTGGCTGTGCCAGGAGGTCATCCGCGGGCCGGCGCTCGCCTCGCCTCGCCTTGCCCCTGCCGGGGGGCGGCGGCGTGGGGGCAGCTCGGTTATTTTCCACTTGCTGAAAAGTTCAGGGCGCCGGGATCGGAAATAGCCACCATGCATATTCATGAGCAAGTGATGTCAGCGGCGGCTGCAAATCAGGTCTGCGGCCGCCGGGAAGCGCCATTTGCCGGTGAAGCCGGAGTCGGAGCTGGGTGTCGGTGCTCTCGCTTGCAGCCCGGCGCCGGCAGAGGGAGAGGGTCGCGCCCGCCGGCTCCTCGCGAGCTCCGGCGCTGGCTGGTGGCGGCCGAGCAGGGAGCCGAGCCGAGCCGAG